TATGCTTATTTCTGCATACAAGAACTGGGGTACAGACCAGAGATTCAGGAGGTGAGAGGATTCACCAGACAGAGTGGGGAGCAGAACAGGCTGATTGACTGAAACACACTGCTGAGGGGGGCAGCAGGGAGACAGGAGAGGTCTGCTGCGCCCTGTGAGTCAGCTTCCTGGCTGGGGATCAAACTCGTGCTGCCGTGGCTGCAGATAGCTTCCTAGTGCTGCACTTTAACCTGTTGCGCCACCAGGGAGCATCTGTTTTCCCATTTTAAATGGGCAGATTTATTTGGAAAAGGAGAAGGAAACAGAGGCCAGCCCCGGGGGCCTCAGGCCACGCGCTCTGGTCTGGGCCCCAGGTCTGCTTCTTCAGCCCTTTCTGCAACTTTCTGCGCTGCCCCCGTTTCCATTTAATAAGTTCTTTTTTTTCTGCTCAGAGCAGCCAGGGAGAGTTTCTTTTGGCTGCTGCTAAGAGCCCTGACTGAGGCGGCATTTAGCGCAGGAACTGGCATTTAGGTGTTGTTCGACAGGTGACAGCTACTCATGATATTAGGCCCAGAAGTGGCCGAGGTCTTTGGGGCTGAATCCCATTAATCACACTCTCAAGGGGCCAGTGTCCACTGGAGTGCCACTGACATGGCTCAGGCTGACCTACCCCCAAACCCCCCCCCCCATCACCCGACGCCAGGGCCCTCTGCAAATCCTCTCCCTGAAGCGGAAGCTGCAGTAGCCCTGGGTTCTGAGTGGGAGAAAGAGCCACAGGTCTTGGGGTCCAGAGACTTTGAGCAACGGGCTTGCGGTCCATCACCTCAATTCCTGTCTCGGACCTGCCCTTTCCCCCAGGAAGCATTAGGTCAACGCTGCAAGAGCTGAGTCTCAGGAAAACCTCCTCCGGGCCTGGAGCTGCTCGAGCTTGGATGTCCCTGAAAAGACGCCGGCACTCACCGCCCCGGCAGCCTCCCACGGGGACCCCAGCGGGCCAGCCTTGCCTTTCATCTTCCTAATCTCATTCTGGGGGGTTTGTCCCAACCTTGGGCCCACGGGGGAGCTTGCTGCAGCCCCTGCTCAGCCTGCCTGGAGCAGACCTGGCACTGCAGGGCTATACCACATGTACCCACGTGTGCCCAGGGCACCGAGTACAGGTCACCTGGCAAAGGTCGCCAGGGCCAAGGGGCTCTGGCTGGTGTCCTTGCCGCAGGTCAAGCCGCCCAACCCTCACCTCTAGCTGCGGCCCTCCCACACCTGCCCCCGGTTGATCAACCTGTAAATGACAAATGGCTTCGAGGGCCTCCACATTCTGCAACCACCGAGAACATCTAGTGTGAGCATCCAAACCATCCATGAGATCCTTTTATGACCTCCCAGAGGGAACTTGTTCTCAAATTGCCAGCAATGACCTCCCCATGTTTTTTCACCAATAATGTCCTGCTTGTGGAAAAGATCATGCTTAGTGAAACTGGCCAGAAAGCAAAGGAAAAATACCGGATGGTTTCGCTCATGGCAGGAGTATAAAGGACCAGGTGAGAAAATAATAATAATAAAGAACAACTATATACCAGAGACATTTTACAGGGGTGGAGTGGGGAGTGGGATCAAAAACAGTGGGGGGAGGGGAATGCACTGGACTATGGCGAGGGCACACGGGTGATGCGAAGCTCACAGGGATGACAACTGAGATGGAAAAAGGCACAAAATGATGTAAAAAATAAACTATTATATAATTTATAAAATAATTAAAAAATAGTAATAATGTCCTGCTTGGCCCTTGGGCTAGGTGGGATGCTGAAAGGCCCCCCCAAACCCCTTCTCCTACTGCCTTCCACACACTACATAATCCCTGAGGCTGTGAACACAGGTGTTTTACTCCTGGGCTGGGTTGTGCTCTGTGACACAGGGAGACGAGCCCAGGGGAGTCTGACCTAGCCAGGTGAGCCCTCGAAAGCACTTGACTCTTCCCCAAGTCAGCCGAGTTGAATCTCCCACTGCTGGCCTTCACAGGGACGTGAATGATCTCCAGGGGTTCCCGTCTGACAGCTTCAGTGAGGAAACAGGGGTCTCAATTCCACTTGGTCACGGGAAGGAAAAGAATTCAGCCACCACACATGAGCTTGAAAGAGGACCCCAAACTGTGGGTCTGAGTGCCGCCCAACTCCTCCTGCACGGAAGGCCGAGCCGCGCTGTGTCACACTTCTAACCTACAAAGCTGAGCGAGTAACGTGCATTGTTTGAGCTGCTGAATTTGTGGTTATTTGTCATGCAGCATAGAAGATGCATTTGGCCCTCCAAACCCACTTCTTACCCCATGAGATGCACAGGGGTCGCGGGAGCGCAGGGGTGGGGACAGGATATGCACAGAGAAGTCTCCAAAGGACGGCCTTGAGGGCCCACTGGGGAAGACCCCGGGGACAGCAGGTGGGCAATATGGACACAGACCTGCTCCTTGATTCCCCACCCTGCCCCTTACACCGTGACAGCCTGGGAAGTCCCTTCTCGGTCTGAGTTTTGCCCTGTGAACAGGGACAGACCCCCGCTGGCCATATACCCTCTGGGCTGAGCAACTGCCTGCTCGCCGTGCTTGACCAACATCCCTGCGTGGCAGATAAGAGGTGACGAAAGACCCAGCAGCCCAGGAGATAGGGACCCGGCCGTTGCTCTGAGCAATCCGCCGTTGGCTCTTCCTCATTTGGATGTCCCCATGATGGACATACACCAAGAACACGAGAGCTGCAGGCCCCTTGGGGGTGAGCCAGCCGGTCTCCACGTCAGAGATGGGAGGTGCCCCTGGGTGCGTGTGCCTGGGTTGGGGCTCAGTGCTCCTCTTGCCTGGGACCTTGCCCGCCTTGCTGCCCAGGTAGCTCCTCTTGCAGACTGTGCACAGCAGGGCTGGAGGGACTTTGTCTCTGTGCCAGTGCTCCCCTGGGCCACCGTCCACTTTCAACATATGTCCAGCCCATGTGCTGCTCTCCCTCTCTGCTCCCACTGCCCTAGCCCAAGCCACCAGGCTTGGATACATACGATGGAATCTGGTTTCCTGCTCAATGTCTTTCCTCCACACCAGCAGCTCATCCAAACCCCTTCCCACTGCCCGCAAGGCTCTCTGTGTCCTGCCTCTTGTCCACGTGTCTGATCTCCTTGTCTTACTGCTCAGCTCCATGGCCACGCTAAGACTTCTGCGCTACGAGCAGGTGTCAGCT